CAGTTTGTGCTGATTATGGTGCTACTAAACTTAGTCATTAAAATGTTTATTAGCAACTGAAAAAAGCACAAATGTCAGGACATGTCAAAACTTCTCCAGGGCCCAAAACACCCTCAGACCCCAGAGGGTTAAATATAAACTTACTTACAGTCTGTGAGTCAGAACAGCCGGCATTGTATAGTCTACTCTACCAGGATCAGGAAACAGTCCTCCATAAAATACGCTGCACACATCTGAATATTTGGGTTGAACTGTTCTGGAACAGTGTTGTAAATACTGCTTAACCACTGATGTCTAGTCGTGTCCTCTTTTGGAAGGCCAAACAAAGAAACACATGGCCGCCTTAAGTGGGCAGAGACAGGCGGGCTTGAGAATGGCGCAGCCGGCGGATTCGATGAAGGAGCGTCCGGCGGGCTTGCGGCAACCACATGTGACGATCCCGGGATGGACTCCGCTTCGTCCACGGTGAAAGCCGATCCGGCGATCCACAGCGTGAAGTTGATGTATTTCCTCAGCGACCAGCACGGATCAGCTCCAGGCATGACGAAGCGGATATCGTCCTCTTTTGGAAGACCAAACAAAGTAGTTTCACTTTCACAACGAAACACACAGCACCTTCCCGACATGGCAGTGGCGGCAACAACAATACTACTGCGAGAATAAAAGTTACGCCTACTTTCTTTGCGTGAACATTTGGGTGGAGTTATGCAAATCTTCCCACATCGTAACGTAGACATGTGGGGGCGTGTTAGAACGAGCCGTTTTAGGTAGGCGTGGTTGACTCTTAACTTTTATGAAGAATATCTCTTTGGATTTGAGACTTTAGTCTTTGCAACTTTACAGATCTTCTTTATGCACCAAGAGCTTGTAACACTCCAAAGAGAAAGGAAAAACTGAAATCGCATCATATGACCCCTTTAAGCCTGATTTGCATCCCAGAACGATCGGGGGGTGTGGCCCGATTCGAGGCTTGTCGAAAAATCCTCTATTGTGTGGGGTCATTACGATTATTTATCTGCTCCAGATCAAGACGGAGCGTCCCTAAACTCAAATCGTAAATATCAAACTGTGAAATTTTTTTTGATATTTACGACTCTTGATCGGACTGCCTCTGACGTGATAGCCGCTACAGCCAGTGAGAGTGAGCAAGCGTCACCTACCGGATGTTGCATGCTTCTATAGCTGAAACTTGGCAGCCACAAACATGCCATGAAAGCGGAGAACATCACCCATATTCTTTGCCGTTTGGTCTCCAGGTACATGTCCAGAGATTTCTGAATCTCTTCTAACTTAGTGTTCATTTCTGAGAGCTTCTCTAGAAGACCGGAGACAACATAAAAAATAATATATGTGTCCTTTATTGCTTCTTTCATTGACATTTGCAATGCAAAAAATCTTAATAGTTAACAGACCTCAGTTTTTTAATGCAAAATAGATTTTTTTTTCTGTTGAAATGTGACCTGGACACGTTTCATCCATCTGCCCAGGGGTGTTGCCAAGATTGCTGCCAAGTGAACTGACTTGCTCCAGTAAAGGCTTTTTTACAGACACTGAAGGTGGTGAATTCCAGCACCATCCCTTCATTACCTTGATGGTGTGTTCCTCTGAGAGCATTTTTGTCCTTGTCGAGTCGGTCCATGATGATTTTCCAACTGGAGTTGACGTCATCAAATTCAGCCGTTTCACGAACCAACTGCTTACATATATCATCTGCCAGAAAGATATTCTAAACAAAGAAAAAAACACAGAATGTGGTAGCAGATGACACAAATGAAGAATAGCACAGAAGGGAAAATAAAACAGTTTGGTGCTTGGTTGGAGCCATCACAGGTGTGTTTACAAACACTCATACACACAGGAAATCCAGGCTGACAGCCACTGTTTACTCTCCTCATCAGCTACGAGAGAACAGATGTGTGACTCTGAACTCCGCTATGTGTGTGTCTGTGAGACGCTAATCTTTTACAGTGAGTTTGTGCATCACATGTAGATAGCAGACCCCTCTGTGATCTAACACAGTGGATTGTGACTGGGGTTTATTAAGAAAGAGCCAGATGTGAGGAAGGTCAGGAGTGTGTTGTGTACAGCATATGCCTGGAAAATGTAACCGTAGACTTTTAAAGCATAAGAGAAGCATTTGGATGAGTAATGTGCTGTATAAAACCGTAGGAAGTGCTGTGTGTGTGCGTACCTCTAGATACATCCATTGTCTTTGTACAGTGAGGATCATTTCAATGACTTCCAGCACCAGAGACAGACTACGTTCCCAGTGGTCAACTTCCTTTTCAAATGCTTTGACGAAACGAGATGCTTTCATTACAGAGAGTGTCACCTGGTTATCCTCCAGAGCCTGGAACACATAATCTGTTCCCCTGAATACACGCACAAACATGCACACAGTTTAGAAGATATATTTGTAAAAACATCTCATAGACTACTGGTTCTCAACCAATGGGCAGGGACCCACTAGAGGGCCTCACAACACTTCCAAGGGGGTCAAAAAATGATTAAAATTAATTACAATAATTAAAATAAAAAATAAGCTAAAACAGCTAAAAATCTAGACTTTTCTTATTTTAATTAGTTTTTTCAACAACTGCCATTTTTATTCAAGAACTAGGGTACTCACAGAAACCTGATATGAGGGAATTTTCACAAGTGTTAAAAGTAATGGAAATTTCTATAAGGAGAAGTATTTTTCTAGTTACCTGAGGCCCTAAAATATTTTATTGGGTAGAAATTGCTATTTGTAAATAAAATATAAAATAAAAAACCTTATCTTATAATCACAAAGGACTGGAAATATCATGTAAATTCACTGGATTTATTACAAGTGAGAACCCTGAAATACATTCAGGTCATGAAATTATTATTAATTATTACTATTATAATATATATACACATACATACATACATACACACACACACACTATATATATATATATATATATAGATATAGATATTCTTATCTCTCAGATAGGTCCATAGGTCCATCTTGGAGAGGTGAGGTGTCCAAGTCACAACATCTAACTAATGGGGTGCCTCAGGGCTCAGTTCTTGGACCACTTCTCTTATCTGTCTACATGGCATCACTAGGTTCTGTCATTCAGAAACATGGCTTGTCATATAACTGCTATGCTGATGACACTCAACTCTACCTCTCATTCCATCCTTATGATCCGACGATAGCTGCTCGTATCTCAGCTTGTCTAACAGACATTTCTTGCTGGATGAAGGACCATCACCTTCAACTCAAACTTGCCAAGACAGAACTGCTTGTGGTTCCATCAAACCCATCGTTTCATCACAATTTCACCATCCAGTTAGGCACATCAACCATAACTCCTTCAAAAACAGCCAGAAACCTTGGAGTTATGATTGATGATCAGCGGACCTTCTCAGACCACATTGCTAAAACTGCCCGGTCCTGCAGATTTGCTTTATTCAACATCAAGAACATCAAGAATATATGTATACAGTATATACAGGGCTCCAGACAAAAAAATTGAGTAAGGAGCCATTGGCTCCTATAAGAAAAAAACTTAGGCGTCAAAATTATTATTTTAGGTGCCACAGAATAAACGTGTTTTATTTTTTTATTTTTTTTTACATTTGAACATTTCAATCATACTGTCATGTGTTTTGATGTTAATTCATGTTTATTATGTAGCTACTAGTAGTAAAGAGAAAGATTAAATGGGTTCACTTGCTGCTTGAACTGAGGCGCTAAAGCGATCGCGCCTGCCACATTAAAGAGCGCCAAAACTGTATTTATTGTTTGAATTTCGTTATGAATTTGGAATAATTTTAAAGCTGATACTTTGTTTTTTAAAAAGTAACAAAGTACAAAGCTTTTTGCGATTACTGGACGGCAAATGTGCTTCAGATAATAAGAAGTTCACGCATTAACAGAACACAGCATAGACTAAGATCTTGTTAAGAAGAAGCCATATTAGTAATGATTATACACTAGAATTGTTAACGATATTGCCAATATCCACACAACTGACAGCTTTACCTGTTGTAGTTTGTTCAAGTTGTGCACGAAGTAGACGCTGCCTTTCTGCACTTTCACTTCGCACACCTCCATCATTTCGATCTCTCTCGCGCTGTACAGGTGAGCTGCGTTTAGCAGACTGTGTGCGACAACGCTGCTGTGCGGCTGACAAGCTACACAAAATCACGTTCAAAATCGCAGGCGATTCATTGCCGATTTTGAGTAGCTTGTCAGTGAACTACGTCTCTGTGTAGTAAATGCTGCTCCATCTGAAAGCACATGCTGGAGATTTACTACAGCCCTTCTCGCAAAATGAACCCTTACCCCCCAAAATGTAACCCTCACACAACCTGTTGACATTATTTTACTAGCTAAACATGATTTAGCTGATTTATGAGCATTTTAAACATTGAGTACTGCTTCAAATGTCTGTTTTTGACAGTGTTTACTATATTTGTGAAGCCAAACCTGAACATGGACCCAAAGCATATTTAGAAAAAGGCACTTCACAATACAAGTGAAATAGAGGAAGGTAATACAAAGAGCTCAAGGATCAGCCTGTTAATAATTTCGACAAACTATCACACATCCCCTTCTATCTCGCGCACACACAGCTAGATGTATGAAGCAAACAAAAGAGAGGACAAAGTGAACAGCAGTGGCTCTCGACCCCCCACCTTGGCATACTACGTTGCCATGGCAGCAGCCTCACGCGCTGCTGCAGTCGTCTCCATGCCAACGGTGGAGCTATAGCCTCACTGTGGGGATGAACGGTGACTACCTGATGCCCACATGCACACGCACAAACACACACTCAAATATATTAACACAAGCACACAAACCCACAGGAAAGACACACTGTATGTTTTACACTCTCACAGGCACAAAACATGTCACACATCTCTTGATTTCTCAGATTGAAGCCGCAGGGGTGTGTGTCATTCATCTCTGTTTGTCTCTGCCTCTCTATCTCCCCAAGCTCTAACCAATGCCCCTGCATGCAGAGTGTGTGCACATGAGCCATGGAGAAGCACTCTACACACACTTTGCACATCCAGGACAGCAAAAAAAAACTTCACTTAAACAACTTTTCAATGTTAGTTTGTGAAGGGAACAAGGGTGGGATAAGAAAGAAAAAAGAGAAAAGGCTAAGTGTAAATACCTTAAAATAACATCTTCACAACGGAGAAGCACTCTACACACACTTTGCACATCCAGGACAGCAAAAAAAACTTCACTTAAACAACTTTTCAATGTTAGTTTGTGAAGGGAACAAGGGTGGGATAAGAAAGAAAAAAGAGAAAAGGCTAAGTGTAAATACCTTAAAATAACATCTTCACAATCTCTCTTTCTCTTAGAGGGAGGAAATAGGCTGAGAGGGAGCACAGGGCTGATGGGAAAGATCGAGTTTTATTTGTAGTGCATTACTGAGGAAAGAGAGAAAGAAGAAAGGCAGGAGTGAAGCAAAGGAGAAGAGAGTTCCAGAGGGGAGGAGAGAATAAGAGGAGGTGAGTGACAGTCGTGGGCCACCTGACCTCCAGAGCGACAGCATGAAACGAGGCACAATCTCTCGCCTGCGGCACCTACTGCCACACACTCAGAGGAATAATCTGTCTGTTTTCGTGTCCAGGCAACATGACAGACACATATAGCATTCTACACACATCACTGAACCAGTGCTTGAGGAAAAACATTTCACACACACACACACACACAAGTGAAGTCCAAGATCATTTATGGTTAAGGTGAGCCACTTTGTCTCTAATGCCTGATATTAGTTGAATTCACAGTTGCATATCATGAACATTTTTAGGAATGAGCAGAGATGTTTACAAGTCTTTAACTTGGAGTCTGAGTCAAGTCTCGAGTCTTTGGTCACCAGTCTGAATCTAGTCTCAAGTCAATCCCATTCAGAATCCTCATGTATTGAAATCTTCCAATTTACGAAGCTATTTTATAGGCTATAGACAAAATATATGATCAATGATATGCTTTTTTTTTTTTAAAGAGGTGTTAAGATGTAAGGTTAATGTACATCCAGTCTGTCACTTATATGTTTTAATCCATTACCATGTTCAAAACAGTTTTTCTGTAATCAAATTCTATAATAAGAGTCCTATCTACCATGACACATAAGGAAATATGTGACACAGATATTACAAAACCATACAAATAAATTATTTATTTTTGATACAAGTCAGGGGTATTCAATTAAAGTTACAAGAGGCACGGCCTCTATATTTTCTTCCAAACAGAGGTCCGGACAAAAAAAAAAAAAAAAAAAAATTATACATATTGTATTTTTACATTTAGATACATGCAAGGCCATGTGACAAAAAAAACTGTTTCTGTTCAGGCTTTTCCTCCTGAAATCTATACTATTTTAATATTTTACTTAAAAGCATTATCTACTAAAAATGTCTACAATAATTCGAACCTTTCTCATCTTGAGCAGAAAAAAAGATAGTCAGCAGTTTCAAAGTTTAAGTTCTATCCTAGCCGTCTAACAACATTTCCCAATTATAATTACATGATTCTTTTGAAATGTTCTTAGCCTACAGATTAATAATGCTAAATGTAGATCAGAAACGTCGTGCCACATCTGGTTTGAACAGGTTATGGATAGATACATAGATAGTAAGAAAAAGAACTATGTTTGCAGCATTGTTTTTTTTCTGCTGTGTTTTAGTGAAAGTAATCTATAATTTTGCAGCTCTCCGTGTTTCTGTTGTTAAAATAACCGTCTCATCTGCCGGTGTGCGTCCGGAGAGAGAGAGAAAGCACAGAGCTGAAAGGGCTTGAATAAAGCACGTTTGGCTTTAGATAAAAATACTAGAGTAGCCTATAGCGCTGAAAGATATCTACCATAAACGACCCTGAGCACTTGTTATGTGATCCGCTCCGCTGTTTCGACGTGCTGGTCACTTAAAATAGTGCTGCTGTTACGGCTCACAGTCCGAATGGATGCCGAGGTGTGGATGCGGTCCACCTTTTGAATATCAGTTATATAAGGATTAAGACTAGAGTTGCTTTTAAAATATTCACGAGTCCTTTTCCTCGAGTCGAGTCAAGTCTGGAGTCATTTCAGGTCGAGTCTGAGTCAAGTCTGAAGTCTATAAAAATGCGACTCGAGTCTGAGTCACTAACTCGAGTGTCCATCTCTGGGAATGAGATCAACAGGTCAGAGCACACAGACAAAACACATTCTCTCATGCACAGTAGAGTTTAAACTCTCTGTAAAAACTTTTGGTATATTTGAAACTAGATTAAATATTTGTAACATTTAAATGACACTAGTTTGGGCTCAGTAAATGTTGACAAATGACTGCATTTATTTGATCACACATACAGTAAATATTGTGAAAAATTGTATTG